CCTCCTGTCCCTTCCCAGAGGGTCACCCCAGGCATCAGGAAGGGACAGTGCATCTTCCCAAGTCACTGCAGAATGGTTCATTCCCAAACTTCCCAACATTCCCAAACTTCTGCTGGTTAATGTGCCCATTAAAGTCTCCCTGCAGAAACAGGGAACTCAGTAGAACTACAAACTGGGAATTCAAGCCTGATGACAGGCTTGCTTCTCCACTCAAAAGCAGCTAGACAACCCCCGGGTCCACAGATCACTGTCCTGGTATACTCATTACCTACTTCACTGTACGTGAAGATTTGACTCGCTACATTTCAGTCTGTTTTTTTTTTGTATAGGATTCTCTGCAAATAAGGTATTTACCTCCATATCCAACAAAAAAAAGCATTTTTTTTGTTGTTCTGGTAAAAAGACGAAATAATAGTGTTTCAATCTTTAATGTTAGAGTCGTATCATTATTTTCCCCAGAACTGGTTGTGCTGTGCATTCCTGTACTTTAGTTCACAGAAGAAAAAAAAGGAAACAGACTTAGTAAATATAGTTGTTTACTGTAAAATAAGAGACAGAAAGTAGAAAGAGAAGGCACTTAATAGGTCCCTCTGTGGATTCTGCTACCAAGGGGGAAACAATACTCCTTATGGAGTTGCTGCATGTTTTATACTTATTAACCACCAGGAAAAATGAAAGTTCCACAAGCCCACTGAACTCTTCCCTTCCTCCCCTTTTAACGATTTTAGGAATGAGCTCAGCTCTGAGTCATGATTAAAACTACCCAGTTATGTTCCTAAGCAGCAGTGCTCAAATTGAGGATTTGCTTGTGCTACCTAATGCTCCCTGCTTCGTTATTCTACACTACAAAGGAAACAAGGCAAGCTCCAAGCTATTGCTCGAAGATACTTCACAGTTTTCCAGGCTCCAGTGGAAGAAGATGAATCTCTCTAGAGGAAACAGGCAGTGGTGGTCCACCCCTCACCCCCACACTGCCTCACAGCTACTGAGACCAAACCGCTTGGATCTGATGGAAATGACACCAGCCAGGAAATCTGGTTTGTAAGCCCACCTCGAAAGAAGAAATTTAAGGAAACAAGACAGGAATAAGGATCGCAAGTGATTAGCTAAATTAAAAAAAAAAAAAAACAAAACGAAACACCTAGAGGTAAAATAAAGGCCCATTAGAGGAGCAGAGTAAGGTAGTTAGCAGTAAGCAGCTCTCTGTGACTCAGCATCCTCTAACTCCTGTCTGGACCATTCCAGACCTTCCTTTCACACAATGGGGAGGCAAACTGCCTTGCCCCATCTGGAGCTACTGTCTGCACTACTCTGTTAAGACTCAAGCTCTGGTTCTACAGTCCTGTACTAACTTACCAGGCTCTGAAGCTTAAGAAAATATTTGGTAATAAACTGTGTCAGCCAGAAAAAAAATTATGAATGTTGCCACAAAATACTGCGTCAATATTAAAAACGAGACAGAGACAAAAAATTGCATTAAAGCTCAGTTCATTACTCTGCAGCTCTCCTCCTCAAAATCTTCTGCAAGAAGTAGAGAGCCACGCTCACTAAGACAGCCCCTGCCACTCCACTTCCAACTCCTACCAAGCATTCATAAAACAATTCTCCTTGCCAAAAGTGCTGCTGTTCTTGCACTTCTTCATGGGTGCTGTTCTCTGTGTTTCCTTCCCCCTTGTTTGCTGCTAACTTCTGTTCCCAAGTCAAGGATTTTTGAAAGTTCAGATCCATCAAGTCATTTTGGATCACTCTGACCCCAAAGTAGACCCTCTTGACGACTCTGAATGTCTTCAACATCTGCACATCACATCGGTAAGTCCCTGCATCAGACTCCCTGGTAGGGGAAAATCTGATAACAGAATCGGGGTTTTTGAAAGGTTTGAACAGTACGTCATTTGTGGTGATAAGGCCTTGGGCCAGCCTCCATGTATAGCTATAGGCTCGGCTACCAAAGCCGACTGCATCCGAGGCCATGCAGCTCAACTGGAAGGGTTTGCCTACAGGGACGGTGAAGTGGAGCAAGCCACAAACCCAGCTGGTGAGGCAGTCGGACCTGTGCAAGGTACAATTCCTCCTCTCTCCGGCGGGAGTGATCTCGCACATCTCCTCCAGTTTGAAGCCTAACCCGCAGGTGACGCTGCAGGATGTGGTGTTGACCGCAACTTTCACTACAGCTGACTTCAGCTCGGCTGGGATGGTAACTTGTCCAAAGGAAACCACCACTGGTAGATAGAAAGCACAACGTAATGCCCCAAGGATGTGGCTGTTCCCCAAGGTCTTCATATCGGCGTTATCAATCAGATATCCTACTTTCTAAAGCCGTGCAAATTCTGTAGTCCAAAAATCTCACAAAATTATTCTTTGCAAATCTTCAAAATTGGTATTTCCGAAATCCCACCAGCATCATCTTCAAGACCTAATCCTTCCCTTCGGAAAAATCCTCCAACAAGACAGGCTTGAAGTACAACATGGCTAAAAAGATGCAACACATCACTGTATCAGAATGTGAATCATGAATTCCAGTTCTTGTAACAGGGCAGCAGAATGCCTTAATCCACTATATTCCAGCAATTTGGATATATTTGACAATTTAAAAAAGATTAAGTCCTCCCTCCTCTGTAAGATTTTACATACTATTTTAGATGAATTTCCACTGTAAAGAAGTAGTGTTCCAGTTTAATTTTCCCACCAAACTATAAAACAACGTAAGCAATCATTACTGAGACCTTTAAAATAATGCTGTGGAGCATAAGGAAATCCTAATTCCTTACGCAGCACCTGTACAGTTCTGTCTTACATATGCATATTGCAAAATCTAAAGTACTCCCCAAATTACCAACATCACAAAAACAACACTTCAACCTCTAGTCTGATGGCACTGAAATCAAAGGCAATTCGAACAGTATTTTATCACCGACGATACAGATCTCTACGCAGGGCTCAGTGAAGTCACATCTGTGCAAGCCTGCTGCTTCCCAGGAGACCAGTGCTGATGTCACAGGCCGGTTGCCTGGATCAGAATGCGGCCCCAAACCTTCCGAGGGAGAACAAAGAACTGCCCTAAGTCTGAAGTCAAAGCAAGTCCTCTGAGATGAGGACTCAGCATAAAAGCATCGTACTAGGCTGTTGACATCCACAATCAGACTCAGGAGGGATTCAACAGCACTGGCCTCACAGCACCACTCAGAGGAGCTGCCAGCCTGAGCCCCGTGCTCCGTGTCACATACAGCCACTGACTCCAAAGAGAGATCTGAGCCAAGATCTCCACATTCCACTGATGCATGTGTAAAACAGAAACCACTCGTATGCTACCATTGCAGCAAAATGCTTGAAGAGGAGATATCCTAGTGTAATTCACTTAGTGCTCAAGCGTTCCAAAAGAATAATGCACTACTAAAAAAGTTCTTCATGAAAAAAATCAGTTACTTATTTTTGATGGAGTAATTGAACTATGGTCAAGGCAGTTCAACAATCAGTGTCGCCTTACCAGCAACTGAATTAGGGACTGCAGAAAGGATTTGGATTGCCATGTTCTTCAACAGCTCTGCTAATCAATATCTGTATTTCTCTTCCTAATGCTCCTTAATTTATTAAAATGAAGACTTCTGAAGATCTAGTATATGCATTTTCCACATTCAGCTTCCCTGGAGGTCCGCTCTACACCCAGCACGCTTTGTGTTCAGCTCCCCTTTTGCATGTCTGTCTCAGGGTGCCCGGGCTGCCTGCAGGTATACAGGGCTTTTAGCAGACTACAGATTCACTCCTCTCTCTTGAAAAGAGATCATCAACCAAATGCCACACTAAAAAACCCAAACAACACACCAGCTGTGGTGAAGGCACAATATGTTTGTGTTTGCACCGGAGCTGTATTGTAGGATTCCTGAACATTGTCACAACATAAACACGGTTGTATGGAAAAGCCAAGACTTGCCCATTGACTTTAGGAAATAAAACATACCTCTTTATTTACAAACACAAAAGCTAACATCACTGCTATATACTACCATCAAGCCCGTATCTGACAAATATTGTACAAAACTACAGATACCAAAAAATAAAATAAGAGATGGAAGAAAATAAACCAAAGATATACACTGTACAGAGAAGTTTTAACACAAACGAAGGCTGGAGTCTGTAGCAAATCATACGCTTTAAAACAACCTAGAGAACCATTGCCTGTGCATCTTTTAAAGCTTGTGGGGTCAGCCACACCACATACGGGTGGATTTGACATAACAGTTTTCCAGGAAAGATGCGAGTCATCCTACAAGCAGGAAGGGCAAAGAAAACTAATACTGCACGCATGGGAATGAATTTCATTAAATGAAGCAGGCCACTGATTTAAAATGTCTCCTCTCTTCTCATGCTTATATCTCATGCAACTACTGTATACTTCCGACTGCAAATTAATAAATCTCTTTATGACTCCTCGGTTTTTAATGTCTGCAGGAAACTCTGAAAATTTAAATACGTAGTGATAATCTCAATAATTACATCTAGGGAAAAACTGAAAGTAATTGCATAGGGACTATAAAAGTCTATAAAACAAGGGGTATTAGGAATGAAAACCTTTTAACAGGCGGTTGGTCTTGTGCAGAGAGGTGTCAGGCTGTAGGTACTGGATAGAGAAATTATCTCTTCCCATTCCCACAAGGAAAATATTACAACCGTCTTTAAGGAATAAAAGGTTAAAGTGTGGCTGGGAATGAGCTGTTAGCATTCATCTTTCTTTCATTCTTGATCCAGAAGTAGGAAAAAAAAACCTGAAAAACTACTGTTTCAGTTCGAAGAAATATCGGTTCTGTTTTTTCTCTAACTGCCAGTAGCTACCAGCTAAGGAGGAAACCAGTTGTTTCCGGTAGGGCACCTCACAGGAAACAGACAGAATAAAAACACTTCCAAGGACAGAAAGAAATTGCCAACACAGCTTTTCATGTCACAGGCTAGAAGAAAGCACATAAACTGAGGTTTTTTATCTAGAGCTACTTTCACTTGCTCCTTCTCCCATAAGCAGAGTCATCCTTCATGTCTAAAATAGTCACAATATGAAGATTCATTCTTTGCAGACTTCAGAGGGTGTCTTGATTCTTCACATTAGATCTCCATCCACTTGAGACGAAATCAAACCTGGCACATAATCAGCAGCAGTGTCTCACTAAGCATGTCAGCATAGAAGCCATCACACTGAGCTAACAGAAAAGCTGACAAGGTAACGCAGCTGGCATAGAAGGACTTACAACTCACCAAAATGAAAATTAACAGCAAAGAAAGGGAAGTTTGCAGGATACACAGTCATATGGCATCAGGAATAAAAATACACACTTTGGGTATTCTTCAATCCAGGAACAACAACAAAAAAAATTTAAAAGACAATGGCTGATAAGCTCTGGAGTGGCAGAGTGTTGGGGACCAGCTCACTTTAGAAACAGTTATGTATGTCAACACCAAGGCAGTCCAGTTAGTCTCTTTGCAAATCGCATGACCTGAGAGTCAGCATCTTACACTGTTCGATGAAAAGGCAGTTAAGGAGGAATGAAGGCCGTTTCCTCTTCCATATTCATTTCTTACAAAAGTCACTCCCTGAATCCATGAACAATCAGTCTGCTGTATTAGTCAGTCCACTCTGACTGAGCATTTCATCTATTTTCCACATTATGGTGCCAATATAGGAAAGAATACAGGAGATAAAGAAGAGTGTCTTCATAACAATTCTGAGATTGCACCACCTGCTAAAGAGATCAAAGACAGGTGAAAAATAAGTAACCAGACTCAAACAGGTGTTACCAGAAACCAGAGACCACCAAATATGGTAGCATTTCCAGAAGGGGGGAAAAAAAAAAAAAAAAAAAGAGAACAAGATTTTCTAGATAAAGCCATTCTTTTCAGAATGAGATATAAACAGCAAGATACTATCTATGACAAATTAAGATCTCCAGTATTTCTGCATTTGTATTTGAGACCACGTGCACGGGCATGGACAAGGTGGCTAAGAAACTCTGAGCTTTTACTCCACAAAGTTGCAAGCAAACTTACCTGGCGTAAAATTTTTTGATTCACCAATCTCAATATCTCAGAGCAAAAGCACAAGTGAAAACAACAAGCTCCACCTACGTTTGGGTTAAACCAGATTGCCATAAGATTTTATTCTAAAACTATAAAATGGATCAAGCTTCTCAGTTTGTTTATACTGAAACCTGATTTTGACATAGCAGCTTTAAGAATAAGACATATACTGCCACACCGCGCAGCACAGTGATACCGACACACTTCCACCAGGCTCCAAATCCCAGCCATGCAGCTTGCAGAAAGACACTGTATTATGGCGGATCAACAAACAATTTCCAGAGGAAAAATGCTTGTTGTGTGACTGTTTTAGCAACTGATTAATTACTTCAGAAAGCAACAGCATGAGGAACTAACAGAATTAATGGCTTCATGCATGAGAGACAGAAAAGGCAGTCTGGCTCCAGGATCCCAGGCAGGTGGCCATTTGAATTTAGGTGTGTATTTGTATGTGATGGAACACTGGCAACCCCAAGAAAAAACTAGCTGCCCAAAACAGGAATTGCAAGCGCAAGCCGTAAAGAGAACAAAGGAAGATGGACATGAACTTCATGGACTAAAAGACTGCTGTGAGCTTGGAAAGATCCAAGTGACAGTTTCTTTCAGCCGACAATCTGTTCTTCTCATAACACGACTCATATGGACACTTCCAACACTGACTACCGAGATCTACTGCACGAATCTGTGAGATCCTCTTAAGTCAACAGTACTGCAGAAGGAAGCACAGTAACGGGTCCTAATGAGAGACAGAAATCCATTATAGCAACATTGATTATCTGCCTATATCTCAACCAAGCTAAAGAACACAACCATGGAAAAACAGCTTAAAGGGCTTACAGGCAACAAAGACTAAAAGTAAATTTTAGAAAGCTCTGCCAACTCCAATAGATCAGTAAAGTAATTAGGGAACTTGGGTCTAAACCTATTTGTTTGTATGAAAAGAAAATTTCCATTTTACGGTGTCCAAAACCCAAAACTAACTGTACTGGCATGGGTATGCACATCCCAAACTTAGCAGCAGTAAAATTCCACTGTTGTCTTTTATCCCAAGTCAGATTGTATTATAGCAAATGTATGAGCATTACAAGCAAAACCACACAAAAAATCCTCCCAAATACAGCTTTCCAAGGATGTGTAAAAAAAAACAAAAAAGAAGTCTGTCTAAAATGTTGCTTCATTTGAAACACGTTAGAAGAAATGGGAGTAGCTCTCAGAACAGACCAATGCAATAGTGATCACAAGCTGCAAGAAGAAAGTACACTGAGATCTATCTACAAATGCATATCAAGCAAATTAGTAAAACAAATTGATAAAAAAGTTATATAAACATACCTTGAAAAAGCTGAACAAAAATACTTGCTATTAAAACTACTTCTCTGAAAACAGACTGCTTATACAGCTACTTAAACATGGAAAAGTCTAAATATCCAGCACTGTTTTTTTGAAGCAAACGATGACTAAAATTCGTTTTGGAAGCCACACTGTGAAGTTTCCAGTGCATGATCTTTTCTCATTTATATCCTTTTGCATATGGTCATGTTAATTAGCAGCATGATAAAAGAAAGCAATCAACAGGCCTGCTGCTGAAAGTAAGGGTTATACTCATTTGGTCTTCAAACCAGTCTTGTCCATCCAGCATGGTACAACAGAGCAGTCAGGATGTGTAACATGCTAGCAAAGACACCTGAGGATCCACACAATCCAGATAATTCCGCACTATCACACTTTAAAACATACTGGATGTCCCCTAGTGACTCGAGAAGTCAGAAGAGAATCACCCTATTTGGTAAATCTGACACTAGTAGCTAATCAGCACCTCTGAAGCTACAAACAAGGTCTAAGGATATTCTTGGCTATCTATTTAATTTCCGGATTTTGCAAGGTGCAATAAGAAAGGATTAAACGGAAGCCCAGAAAACATCCACCACGTTTTTCCATGTATAGACTAGTTTCTTTTATCCCATTCCCTTTTTCTGCAAACCGCAATTATCAGTACGAGCAACATAACAGGGGCTGAGCAGGAAGGACAATGAGCACGGTGGGTAGCACAGGACCAGCAGCAAGGGAAGGAAGGGAGGGAAAAATAAAATCACTTCTGTACAGTCTAAAATCCACAGCAGCAGCTGCTGAGTTCAAGGAAACGCAAAATCTGATATATCAATTACTCTGTGTTTTTGAAACTGTTTATATATCAACCCTGAGTTCTTCATTACAACCTAAAAAAATGGGAGTCCACATCACTTAATTCAAACATGTGCTTTCTTTCCTGCGCTTAAATGAAGTTTTCCCAAATAAGCAGCTAAAGTAGCAAATGAGACAGATGGGAAACACCTAGTCTCTCCAAGACGAAGTCTGGGCCGCAACGACAGTGACTGTAACTGTCCTATTTTAGTACACAGCCAACAAAATATGACCAAAAAAAAAAAGAATAGTCCACCAAAACCTACCCTTGTTTACAGCAACTGTACTTTCTGCAATTTAAATAAGGCTGCCATTATAGCTAGGAATAGAAAATTCAGCTCCTGAATTTTATCTCAGTGTTTGTTCATCAAATGTTTATCAAAGCATTATCAATGCTCCATTTCCTAGTTCTGCTTACAGAACTTCTCTGTTCTTCATCACTCTGCCCCGTACTGAGGGCACAAAATGTCAATTTCAGCTTCAGAATCCTTCACTATTTATATTTTTCCCCCCTCAACATCGACCCACCAAAGCCAAACATTATTACTGTTTATGTAAGATTTGACAGAAGTTATCGAAAAGATGAAAGTTAGCAAAAGATTTTTTGCTTTTGAAGTAGTGCTCAATCTCTATTAAAAACCCTACAAGCTCTTTATATGCAACAACACCGGCACGGGTATCAGTTTTATTACAAATACTGAAAGCACTTCCACTTAAAAAAAATATAAAATTTTGCCTGTCCTTGACAGCAGCTAAACATTTAGTGAGTAAGTGCCATTTGGGAAGATAAAATGCTATGACTATATTAAGTCAGGGTCTGTACAAAGCAAGGCCACCAAGCAAGCCAACGACGCTCACGCTGGGTTCCTTACCTGTCAAAGGCTGTCCCAGCTCCGCCTGCACTTTACCCTTCGCTGCTCCTTCCAGAGGTAAAGCACCTCTGTCCCCTTTGTAGAGTTTCGGTTTAAATGGAGAATCTTTGTCTTTACCTTTTGATCCTTTAGGCCTGCCTGCTTGCTTCTTCTTGGATTTACCATCTCCCTTCACACCCAGCAGCGGATGGACTTCTGCGAAGAGACAATGTGTTACGAAAGTGAATTATCCCTTAAGATTGCTTGTATCAGCACACACAGACCTTGGTGTTAGATACAAACAGCATTAAAAATTACAGTTTCAGGATGCCTTACTCATTCCCAGCTTGCAAAATGCCAGCAAATTTGCAGAGTTGGTGACTATTAATAGCTGTTGCAAGAAGCGACTTCAAAGGAAAGAGAAAATTAAGGAGTGATCTTCTGAACTTCTGGTCTTCAGACAAAGCTAAGGGAAAGCTAACAACCATCTCAAATGCAGCACAGGCACTAAAGCAATGGTAGTTTCTACGCACCATCATTAGGTACTCCTTGTAGTTCAATGTTGGTGGTTTTGGGCTTCTTCTTTGGTGCCTGAGGTCCATCAGAGGAGGACTGCCTCTTCTTCTCCGAACCTATTCCCTCATCAGTTAAAGAACTCTGAACCGCATCTGGTGGAGGTCCATAGGGGTTTTCTTCTGGATCCTCAACTTCAGGAGCAATGGGTAAGTAAAGCAGAGCCTTGGAGTCCTCCAGTTCTTCATCACTGCGAAGGAAAAAAAAAAATTTGCTTTCATTTAAAACTAGGGGTTACTATAACATATTATACAGGGAATATGAGTCTTACATTTTGTATTCATACTTTAAACAAAATATTCTTTCACCTGCTACAAAAGGCAGCAATGGGATCCACACTAGTTACATCCACTTCTTCATCTTCTGCAGCATCAGCACCTGAGAACCAGGGAAAAAAGACAAATTTAAGACAAGAAGGAAAAGACCAAATTACTTAGAAAGAATGGGACTGACTGTGCTTAAATGTCTAAGCATACAGAAGTCAGAATTAAAGCAGAAAACAAACCTAAAGTATTTCCTCTTAAATCCATCAGGTTTTTATTTTATTTTTCTATGTTCTAATACAGACCTAGTGTTATAAAACACCAGTAATAAAGCTAGATAAAAGATTTAAAATCTTCTAAATGTTTTGTTGTTTTCACTAAACTAGTTCTAAATCTGATGAAATCGATTATAACGCTTCATTCCCACAAGCCAACTTGTTAGACTTGATTATTAAAAACTGCTAAACAACAATTAATCTAAATATAAGAAGTGCTGCAAAGCCTGGCAATGAGAGCTCTGTGGCATGCTGGGAATAATCCTTATTTCTTTCCATAGTTTAACCGTAGCCTTTCACAGCACACAATTTTTTGGCACCACCAAGTGGTGAGGCTGCGCTGCTGTTGATTCAAATTCAGCACTGCTGCTGTTGAGAGCAAGCCCATACGATGATATACGTCTATCTGCTACTGCTTTCTGCTTAAACATATAGCGGAGAGGGGAGGCATTTCTAAAAAAAATGTTGCATGTCAATTGGCAGGAATCATACTGATTGTGCTAGTTCATACATCTTCGTTTATCCACTCCTGTTTTGTCATTTAACACCCATGCACGCTACCATGACCGCTAGTTTTAATTTTTACTACAGTCACGTAGTCAGACTACAAACCATTTGCTACACAGAAACACAGTTTATGCAGACCTGTCTGTTCTGGTTCACTCTTATCTTCATCTTCAATGTCAAACTCTGACTCTCTCTCTTCATATTCTACATTTTCATCCAGCTCTTTGAAGTCAGGCGCAAAGGCACTCCAGTTTTCCTAAACCACAAATTCAAAACAATTTTTACCATACGCAAAGGAACAGCAGCTGTAGTGAGGACTCATGCAATTACAGTCTCATTCTGCTTTAACATCCCCCAAGCCACAAACAAGATCACCAAGGGGAAAAAAAAAATAAAATACCAAGCCTCATTTAGGTCCACACTCAGATGGCAAATTAGGAACTGCACAAGTTAGTTCCTACTGAAAATACAACACTGTAATATTCCTTAAATATTGCAATGTGCGTCATAAAACAAAGCTCTATGTTCTCATTTAGCCACTTCAGTTTTGGTTCGCTCACTCAAGACTTCCTGTGCTTAAACAACACATTCAGAAAGACACCATTCCCAAATAAAATGTCTCTGTGAGGATACTTAAGACTTAAGGCAAAGCTTAACTAGTTCAGCAACTGAAGCATGAGTACTGTCCTCACATTCAACAAGATGGCAAACATATGTCAAGTTTGGCAGGTGAACCTAAAAAGATTGTTGAATGAGGACTTAATAAAGGATTTCAACATGCAACCACTCAGCCTACGAGGACAGAGACCACTGGGGAATCCTCTTAAGGAAATGATCTGAAATGCTTACCACTTGATTCTGAGCCCATATTGACACAACACCACTTGAAATAGAAGCTATGATCGGTCGGACAGGATGCCACTAGATTTATTTAAAAGAGAAGGAGCTTAATTGGTAAATGGAATTTTGGAAGCTTAAGTTTTCAAAATAGCAAGAAACATAGTAATAGCAGAGAGTTTTCTTACTGCTACATCCAAGAGCAGCTCTCCTCTGGTCCCGTGGAGGATTTTCACGAGGTTTCCAATACTCTTCTCCCAAATGTACAGAGCATGCTGTCGTGCTGAACCTGCCACTATATATTCACCATCACCAGAGAAACAGCACTTCTTCCACGGTGTCCTGCGTGCAAAGACAGCATCACCAGTTAAACAACGTGCAACATAGAGGACAGAGGACTGCAGAGTGGGCTTATTCTTCAGACTCTGATCTTACATACTGCCATCCATAAAGAATATTTAAACTTCAAATCAAATTGTGACAGACAGGTTTCAAATGAAAACATTAGTCCATTACACTGAATAAGATACTGAACTACCCCTGATGCAGGAACTCCCATTAGTGCTGAGCACCCAAACCTCACCTTTTCAAGTGAGGCTGACCAGCCATCCTGCTGGTTCTTACCTGTTCACTAAATCCTGCAGCTTCTGCATCGGTTCAGGCTCCCCATCTCGTCCACAAGTTAGAATTTCACGGCCATCGTACACCCTGATTATCCGGTCAGCTGTGTTTATTAAAAAGCAGCTGTAGGAAGGAGGGTACAGAACATGCATTGCATTAAAAGACCAAGAAAATAAAGAGATTCAGAATACATTCCATGAAAGAACTGTGAGGGTTTTTAAGACCTTGCATGTTCTGTCAATCTACCCTATTGTTTTCAATTCATCTTTAAAGTTACTACATGACAGGTGAAGTAACTCACCTTCCTTTCCGAGCAAATTCAATTGATTTAATAGCTGTGGTGTTGCTGGTTCCAGTTGTCACTCTGAAGGAAGCAACAAGATCCTGAGTTTCTGTTTTCAAGACCAAGATCTGAAGATTAAAGAGACAGAAGGCAATTAGTGTCTTCATTTAACTCATTCCCCTTTTGGTACCTTTCACATCAGCTACTAAACCTGACAACAGAAGCCTCAGCAATCTAGACAGGAATAGTTGTGATTCTGCAACTATAGCTCTACTGCAGTTTCTGCGACATAAACATTGGTTTATTTACACTGGAAAAGGATCCAACAAAATATGGTCAAAGACAACAGCAACATAAAGACCTAACTCAGACAAAATATTACAGCCTAGAGTTCTTCAAAGATAAAGCCTAATGCTCTATCCAGAAGATCATACCAATGCAATACCAATTACTCAAGAGACATTCAGGAAGCCTTATTTATATACTAAAACAAAGAATGCAACCCAGAAACGTTAAGTATCTTGATAAGGACAGAAAGTAATCTAAACTATTGCACCCAGTGCCGTCTGCTAAAGTCTCACCTTCCCCTTGGCATTGCCTGTATAAATGTATTCCCCCCGCCTGTCAAAGGAGGCCACAACATTGAGATCAGAATCATCATCCACAGGTAGGACAACATGTTTGGAGTCTGACAGCGTTAGCATCACCGGTGCTGATTTCATGGGACAAACCAAAACTCTGTTTCTGCAAAGCAGAAAAAGAAGAGCGAGTAGTTTCTTCTCTGGCAAAGAATTTCCACATTTAGAAGCAGAAGAGAACCTCAATCTATATCAAGAAACACAGAATACCCCTGTACTTTTATTTTCTCATTTTGTCTTTGTTATCTTAATCACAAAATGACATTAAGCTGGTGTCTACTTTCATTTCCTTTCTTTCTCTGCAAGCTTCTCCAAGTTTACATAGTAACTAGTAAACTCAACAAGGCATTTCTACACACATTTCCGAAAACCATTCCCTTGTTTACTCTCCTCCCGTCCTGATATTTTCATAATAAAAAGAGCCACAACAAATCCAGCTAGGGTCCTAACCACAAGATGATACACCAACACCATCTACTAGATTTGGAAAAGTCAGTTTGCAAACTGCAGTAAAAACATTTTAATAATCATTAGTTCTACCAAAATGAGAGCAGTTCTGCCAATATGAGAGCATTCAACCCTTTTTTCACAGGACTTACTGGTCTCGAGGGTGGTACTGAACTTTCAAGATAGGCGAAGGAAATCGAAATCTCTGGTCGCAGTCTCCAGAGAGCACATCCCACTGTGACACAATGTTATCAGTCGAAGCACTCACCAGTTTGTGACCGTCTCGACTCCAGCTACAGTAATGAGAAGCAGTTCAACTGAAAGTTACTCCTTAAACGCATGAAAGATAACACTCACAGTCTAAAATTATCAGACTTGGATATAAATCTGTTCACGTGAAAAATAACTTAACATCCAAAAACTTAATAAGCATAACACATTTCCAAACTCTCTTAAAGGAAACTATCCCGAAATGTAACTGAGTGTCCCACAACAGGCTGGCATTTCAGCAATTAACACACCCAGGTGTTAAGAGCTGTCAGGGCATCAGAGCACCTGATGCTCAGCAAACACCAGCACGGACAAATTCTAACAGAAATGAGAACAGCCTTTCACACCTGGTGCATAGGCTACGAGTTCAATTATGACTAAGCATTGAATTTCGGTGTTCTGAGACAAAAAACGAGCCTTTTCTCACCATAACGAGCAGACGGGGTGAATGTGAGCGCTTATGATTTTGGCGATGCCCCTGGTCAGGAAGTCCCAGATGACGATGCGCCCGTCGTTGCAGCCCACGGCGAGCAGCGTGCCCCAGCGGTTGAAGGTGCAGGTCAGGGCCATGCTGA